AACTAGGTATCTTTGGGAAAACATCATAAGAATCAAAACACACAAACCCAAGAATATTTACGGTTCATAAATTTGTTTTGACTCTTAAAGTTTAATAATGTACAACAATTAAGAGTGATGAGATGTTCAAGAATGTGGCTTTGACTACTCTACATATTTACTATTGAAAATGTGGAATAATACACATATTGAAAAACTTATTATCTCTAACTTGAAACTCATTATGAAGCATTTTCTTAGATTATTAAATAATCTTCAAAACCCTGATCATTTTGGCAGTCTAATATTTCATTTTATAGATGTATCTTAATTTGTTTATTCACTTAACACTGTGGTTAAGTTTAGGCTGTTTCAAATTTCTAAATGTTTCACTTAAAATAGAATACCTGCTTACCTCTACTTAAACGGCTGGTATTACTGATACCTGCTTCACCAGAACGTCTTAGGTCTTGCTCCTGTTGTAGTCTCTGAATCATGCTGTCCAGTGGGCTGATCTCCTGGTTTGCTTGCTGACTTAGAACTTGATTCAATCCTATGCAATACCACACAAAATATTAGGAATACTTTAGTTACTATTCAAACTACTTTATTCACCAACCTCACTTATTAGTTCAGAATTAAACATAAATTTTGCTTGAGAAAAAGACATAAAATGATCAACTGTAAATGACGGGAGTTATAGAAAAAAAAATAAAGAAAAAAATTTGTCCATCTTAATTTATCAAAAATAATGATGAGGATCATTGCTAACTTTTACTAAGTGTTTATCATGATTCAGATACTCATAATCCTTACGGTAACTCCATTAGGTATGTTTAAACAACTCCACTTTATAGATGAGAAAACCAAAATAACTATTTGAAGTCATACATCTAGCAAGTGGCAAAAGTAAGGTTTTCTACTTAGATCATAGTTTCTTTTAAAATTACAAATCTGATTACTCACTTTCTTAAAAAAAAAATTACTGCCTCATTATACGTTAGGAACTACGCTAGGTACTGGAGAACTAGTGGTAAATAAGGGACATGAAGATCCCTGCCCTTTAAAGAGCTAACATTCTGATGGGGAAAGTAAACAAAAAATCAGTCGTTAATACAGAGTATGAAAGAATGATGTTGAAATAAAGAAGGTGATGGTGGGTCAGAAAAATCAGAGAAGCCCTCTCGGAGAAGGTAGCATTTGAACTGAGATTTAAATTAGCTAGTCACGTAAAGAGCTAGATAAGGAACACTTCAGAAAGCAGGTAAGAGGTATGAAGGCTGTGAAGCAGGGAGAAATTTGTATTTTAACCCATCCAACTTTTCCAGCATTAATTCTTACTCATACCATTCATACAGGACCACTTGACTTCTGCCCTTCTAACACAAAAACACCTTCATGAACTGAAACTTTTGAACACAATATTCCCACTAAAAGGATAAACATAATCTCTAACTTACCATTCAATCACCAACTATTACTGTACCTCCATGATATTTTCTCTGTGAAATCTTTCCAAACTACTTCTGAAACAATTAGCTGTTACCTTTTCAGTCCTTAAATAGCCTAAACGTATCTAAGTACTCAGACCAATATAAAATATAAATGAAGCCCAAACTAGTGAGTTCCTCAAAAGCATGAACTGTTTCATTTATCTTAATATTATCTAAATCTAATACAATGCTAGGCATTAAGTGTTCACTCTTGCTGAATAAATTTTTTAAATATGTGTTATGAAATATATGAAAAATACTGCATGAGTATAAAGAAGGGAACAATTAGTATCAGCCATTTAGGTATATGAGAAGATCTGATCAGGTCAGAATTTTAGGGTGGGCTTAAATAGTAAGAAAAGATAGCAAAGATATTCTGTAATAAAGTTGTAGTAAGACAGGTAAAAGGAAAAGGAATTTGCATGTATTAAGTGCATAACATTATTTCATTTATAGGAGAAAACTAAAATTCAACAGGATAAAATAACTTATTTAAAATAACTGACTAATCAAGCTAGAAGTGGTAAAAGCAGACAAAGGTAAAAGTTCAAATGTCTCCTACTTCTTTCCTGGTTTGCTGTTAAAAAAAAAAAAAAAACATGTTGGAATACTGATGAATAATCTGGTATAGCTCAGTGTACAACTGAAAAAAAAAAAAACACATTTAAAGTATGTTGTACAGTGTCAATATTAACATGCCAATTTATTATTAGAATAGCTCAAATCTATTTTTCCCTATCTCTGAGAGATTTCCCAAAATACATTTTACTATCTAGAGAGCTAAGGTTTTTTGAAAAGCATTTTGCTTTTGTTCTATTTTTATACTCAATGTTCTAAAATATGACAAAAACATTTTTACTCTGAATTGTGAGAACTGGAACACTGAAAAATTTGTAACTCATTACAAAGCCATTATTATTATTGCTATGGGCTCTCTTATGGATACCAGTAACTGGCATTTACTTCATTTTTAAGATTATGCCTACTTTATATGAAAGAAAGAACAAGACTAAGAATCAGAGCTGAGGTTAGAGTCCCTGTGATTCCAAGACACAATACCATTAGGTTTTGAATTCTCTCAACTTGCAGGATTGGAATATCATAAATAAAAGGATTAAGTAAGATATTGTTTATGAAAGCCCTTTATAAACTAGTAAATGGATTTAAAAGTAATAATAATAATTAAATAGCACTGATACTTTAATAAATGAGCTTTTTCCTTATTTCCCTGTGTCTAAAACCCTAAAGTAGCTACCTATTTTGAGGCCTGGGCACAATCTGATTTTTGCCAATTCCTTTCCAAGAGAATGAAGACATTTCTCTTAATTTCAGTCCTATGACCGGAACTTCTCTAATACTGAAACTTATCTGAGTATCTGCCCACACTTCTCAAATACTACTTATTCTTTGAGTTCATGCTGTGTCCATGTACTGAGACATATTAATCTCACAAACTCCAGATATTCAAGTCCACTGGACTGGACTACTCTATGACTAACCACAGGAATGATTCCTTTAATGCTTCTTCTCACCCTCCATTCTAAGTGGACATGTCTAAAAGAGCAGTCCTTTCTATCCAAAACGCCCATCTTCATTGCAATTTCTTGCTAAGCCCTTTAAGAAAAATAAGATGCAGGTTTGAGATTGATTTTTTCTGTGCTGCCTACAGAATCTAATTTCATTATTTAAAAGTCACTCAAAACAAAAACTACTCAGAAGCTTTTGTCAATTAAAGTCTAGAGCTTAAAGTATTTTCATCAATACTTTTCTAGTCTAAAAATATAGAAGTATTCATAATGACACAACTGGTTTAACCTTCTTTACAGAACCTTTCAATTATTTTTACTTAATATACTAGTGCTACATTTCTTGTCAAAAGAAAGAGAGCAGTTTGAAGGCTTTGACTCCATTCTGACTCTCATTTAATTCTTCAACACTCCATTATATTTGACCAAAACAGCTCTGAATACTTTTCATTTTAATCTTACTTCCTATAAATCTTTAAAAGTTGATCACTTTTTAAAACATCTTCAATGTGAACAGGCCATCTACAATCTCTCTCACATCATACTACTATTCCCTTTAATAACATTCATTACAATTTGAACTATGTATTTGTTTATTCTAATAAACTATGTTTATCAATCTACGAACTCATTTCCATGAAAGCAAGTATCATGTTTGTTTAATTCACTGCTGAATAGCCATGGCTCAGCAGTGTCAGAGACAAAAGAGATTATCAATAAATGTTGCTGAATAAATGAACAAATTGACTTGTTTCACACCAAATACAGGAACTACCTTATTAATCCCTAGGAGTTACAAATGGATAATAAATCAAAATTATTGCTGTAAATCTCCAACGTTCCTTAATTTGTAATCCTTAAGTATGGTCAAACATCTGTACAGAACTATAAAACAATACTTTTACTTCTCATGCACTTAACAACTGAAAACAAAGTTTTACTCCATTAGGAATTTTAACAGTTGAGTGGGAAGAAGAAAATTTGACTGTCTAAGAAAATGAGCACCTACCTGAAGAAGTTACTCCCATCTGAGGGATGAGTTGTTCCTCCCTGCAATTTTCACGACCAGGAACTAATCTTTGATATCTTGATGGATGAGGATTACCATCAACGTCAACCAAAAAAGGGGGAGGCATAAGATGAGGTGCTTGCTGAGTCTGTTCATCTAATACAAAATTATTTGCATCGCGGATAAGTGGCCGATAATCACTATGAAAGAACATCTGATCTGCTATCTGTAAAAAGAAAAGTTCATAAAAGACTGGAAAAATAAAAATTTATCATTGTAGAAAAAAATCTACAACATTTCTAATAGAAAGCAAACATCTGAATACAAATCATGGTATTCGGCAACAATTTTTAAAATATTATTTTCCTAAACTAATTGTTAACAGGTCTTTTTATTTTCTACCTTAAGTATTATGATCAGAAAAGTAGCTGCTTTAAATTTTCCCTGAAACAAGGAAGAGATTATATACAGGAGTCCCCTCTTATTTGTAATCCATGGTTTCAGTTACCTGTGATCAACCTGAGTCCAAAAATACTGAACCAAAAATATGAGAAATAAACAACTCTTAAGTTTTAAACTGTGCACTGTTCCAAAAAGCATAATGAAATCATATGACATCTCACTTGGGACATGAATCATCCTTTTGTCCAGTATATCCACACTGTCTAGATATGCTACCCACCTACTATTGTATAGGAAAAACATAGTATGCATAGGGTTTGGTACTATCCAAGGTTTTAGGCATCTACTGGGAGCTTTGGAACATATTTTCTGTGGATAAGGGGAGACTACTACATAAAAAAGCTACCACTAGCTGGGCGTGGTGGCTCACGCCTGTAATTCCAGCACTTTGGGAGGCTGACGTTGATAGATCACGAGGTCAAGAGATGAAGACCATCTTGGCCAACATGGTGAAACCCCGTCTCTACTAAAATACAAAAATTAGCTGGGCATAGTGGCGCATGCCTATAGTCCTAGCTACTCGGGAAGCTGAGCCAGGATAATTGCTTGAACCCTGGAGGTGGAGGTTGCAGTGAGCCAAGACAGTGCCACAATCGCACCACTGCACTCCAGCCTGGTGAGGGAGCAAGACTCAGTCTCAAAAANAAAAAAAAAAAAAAAAAACACAGCTACCACTAAAAATAAGTTATACAATATTCACTTTTAAATTAAATGGTAAAATCAAATCGTCATAAATCATTCAACAGTATTTTTACTTCCACAGAGCTACCATGCTTTATCTTAAATCTTTAGGTATACAGTATGATTTATGTAATATTAATATAAAAATCAATGTAAAATTTTCTAAGAATTAATAAGTGTTTTCTTTAAATGTTTTGAGATGATATAAAATTATTAATAAAAACTCAACCTGGACACAAATTTTATTATGTAAAATTTCACTGGTTAATTTATAATTTTTTAAACTAAATGATAAACCACTCAATATTCACTATCATAACCTTTTATACCATTCCAACACAAATAAGCAATTTAATTCTTTTAGTCAATAATCTTAAAGTCAGGGTTTTTAACTGCTGAGCACAGTGGCAAAGGCCTGAAATGCCAGGTACAGTTATTTAGTAGGCTGAAATGAGAGAGGACTGCTTGAGACCAAGAATTCAAAGCCAGTCTAGGCAACATAGTGAGGCGTTTCAACCCAGCCCTGCAAAAAAACCCCAAAAAAACTGGACAGGATCTTTAACAAAAATCATGAGGTACAATCAGGTAATAAAATACATTTTTAAGAAACATATGAAAGCCACAGATTGGTATCCTAGATAAGTACATATTACCTGTATAAATAAAACATTTTACATTTCAAAGTCCCACTATGGATAACATCTTCCAACTCCAGTTTATATAACTCCTCATGTTAAAAATTCCAATCTAGATTGCTCCAGCAGGCTAAGTTTTTTTTTCTGAAATATGCAGATTTTTAGATAATAAGCCCTAATAAAGTGAGATTTAACTGCTGTCTTCACCTTCCTTTCCAAAACTAAAGTCTCCAAACTAATTAACATAAAATTCTTCAAATTTTATCCTGAATGTAAAAATGATGACTCTCACCGACTCCAAAAAAATACAACCCCTAAACATGCATTAAAAAAATAAGGACATAATGTATAGTCAACATACTCTACCTTGTCATACTTGCTACTGGACCCAAAGCCAAAAATTAAAAGATGTCCATGAGAGTTCTGACACCCTTCCTCTGCATCCAGCTTCAGCTCTTTCCTATATGCTATATTTTAACCAACTTTATTTCCCTCCAAAGTCTTCTGTATGAGAGTCTGTGCATGCAAAATGCTGACCATCAGGAGAACATTTGCAGTCAAATACTGCACCATGTCCTTGGCCTTCAATCTGAAATATATTTAACCAACAATAAGAAAAATGCCATTAAAATGTAAAGAACTGGTCACTATTATTACAATAATTTTATGATAAAAGTAGGATATATCCTAATGAAGTAAAGATAAAGTAAAACAAGCATAGTACAATAAAATTTACGAATATTCATGAAAAGTGCCAGATTAATAGCCTTGAAAAATACCCTATCCACAGACCAAACACACAATTCAGGAAATAAAAGAATACCAATCTCCCCCACCCATAGAATTCTGCTTCATGTTTTAAACTCAGATTTAACACATAATTACGTCTTACACTCCATCTATCTCCATTCAATCATGCCCTTTCTGCAAAAGCTGACATGTAGCAACTGTACAGATTTTTTGGTAACTCTTGGAAGTAGGAGGCAGAGATCACTGCTCAAATGACACTAGATTTTATTCTTTTTGGTAATAAATTCCCTGGTAGTCTGACTCATCTTTTAAATGGTGAATTTCAAAGGTTAAAGAAAAGGTTTTTTTTACCTGATAATTGTTTTCTGTTTTCCAGTTCCATTAATCCAGAACGAATGGGTTTCCTCCCTGCAACCTGTCAATCAAACAGAGGTGGCCAATCACCACTCTGAATTTTTTGCTCTCAGTGCTTCTTCAGACTACGTTCCAGTTGAAAACTTCTTTAGCAGTGTTCTGAAAGAGGTAAAAATTCTACCCTATCTAAAGCACATCTAGGGTCTGAATTTTAGAAACAACTAAAATAGGGAGTTGACTCCCTAACAAATAACAACTAAGGATGATTTTCAACAAATGCTACTGGATTTCTGGATTAGCAGAATCGGAACACACACACATTATCAGGTAAGAAATACCTCCTTTCTGTTCCGGTATCCACTGATCTAGAACGAATTGAGTTTTATTAGTAATATCCCAGGAAATGCTTGGAAAAGAGAAAGGTGATAACTTTCTTTCTTTATTATTAAAACTCTGGCATAAGGATGGATGTACAGTTCACCAAATACAGAAGTAAAATTCAGAAGAAGAATAACTGATTTCTCAAGGAAGGTTTGCATTTTTAGTAAAAAGAGAAAATACTTCTATAAAAGAAAGGACTTGACCTAAGAAGTTAATACAATACCACAAATGGGATTGCCTCAGAAAGAAAACTAGCTTTATCCTTTGGCTTACTAAAAAGAAGAAATGTGTGCATTTATTAATGCTGTTTTGGATGGTTACAATAATAGAAAAGAATAACTTTTTAAAAAATGTAACCATATTGGATAAAATTAGTAAAATTATCTAATGTTTAATACACACAAAAACTTATCATAAAAGAAAGAAAATGAATCACAAGTGAAACAGGATTATATTTCAAGTGTGAAGAAAGTTGGAGGATGATAAGATAGGAGAGGAAGGTGACTGATTGCAAGTCTACTTTAAAACAATTCAAAAACATAAAAGAATGTAACTATTTCTCCAGATTACCATAAGGGCACCAGTAGCCATACAGCCAGGTATTTGCCAAAAATGAAAGACTGTAAGTAGATAGATATTCAGGATTCAAGTATTTATTTTTCAGTGTTTTCCTAGGCAAATAAAAGTTATGTGAACTGTTATAAATAAGCAACCACATGAACAAAGTACACCTCTAAATGGACTTTCATATCCAAAGCTAAAAATTAAGTTATTGAAACTGCCTGAGCCATGTGTTGTTAAATGATTTTTTTAACTCAGTTCACTCAAAATTTTACAGAAGGCAAGAGAGAGAACAAAAAAAAGCAGCTACTTTGTAAATCTAATCTAATAAATGTTTCCAGAAGTGTAATACAAGTCTAAGATTACAAGTGTAATACAAGTCTAAGATTACAATTTTAAGTAGACAGTAGTACAGCAGAGTTTTGAAAGTAGTCCAATTTAGCAATTTCAAAGGAAATCTGATCAATGTTCCCATGCATGATATCCTTCATGTGTTGTTTAAATAATCTTGCTGTACATTTTTTCATTTTGAGGGTAAGGGTTGGGGGGCAAGTAGGACTGATCAACCCTAGACCAGTGTTATTTACCAGTGTTGCCACATTTACAGTTAGTAGATCTCTAAAAGAATATTTGGGGACAATTGAAACTTATAAAGTTCTAAAAAAGCAAAGAAAAAACAGCAATCATATTAAAGATGCCTATGTGTCCTACATAACACATTTTATTGTGAATATGGCAAGACAGTAGTAATTTTCTTGGTATAAGGCATCTGTTTAACTCCGAAGTGACTTTTATATGGAGAAAATGCAAGTACATTTCAATTATATCAGAAAAAAAAGAAAAATATTATTCTGATTAACCATTTATTAAAGAAGAAATTAAAATATCTGCTTTACTCACGAACCAGTTAGAAAAGGTGCCTCTAACCTCATCAATTAAAAGATCAACTCTCTATTTATTAATGGTTTCTCAGACAATAAACACCCATACCTATAAACTGCAGACTAGGTTTTCCAAGACCAGGTTTCCAAACAGTTGATCATGCAAAATAGGAAAATATTTTACTTCTCTATATAACCAAAAATATCCTAGCTGGTTTTAAAATATAAGATATGATTAACTAAGCCAACCAAAAGAAAAGAGTTTCATCTTTTTAAACAAGGGTCAAAGTATTTATGAGTAAGAATTCTCAAAGACAAAATTTTAAATGAAGGCACTATTTGAATATTCACATTTACTAGAAAGCAATGAGGCTTATCTTCAAAAATGAAAAGAAAGAAAATATCCTCTCTAACTAAATGAAAGGTATATGAGCCTATCATAAAATTAAATATACTACATAGAAAGAAAATGATCAAACATAAAATTTAATACTACATATAGTTTATGCTAGCTAGCACTTAACTGCAGTTGTAATAAAATAATTACAAAATAGAGTGAAATTACTAAGTAATGACAAATTATCAAAGTAAGTGCATTTAGATGAACTATTCCTCTAATAAAATCAAGTATGCTTGTTATGCATTATTTTGGACATATATAAAGACCAAATAGAACTCATAAACATTAAATACCAATAAGGTTTAGCTGAGATAATCTATGAGACAGTATTTACTAGTAACTGGAAAAACTTCAAAAAGAGTAATAGGAAGAAAAAGAAATAGAGGTATATTCAGTAATTATGGTAAGTATTTTATTTTTAAAAGGAGGAAATAAGAGGATCAGATGTGTTAAAATAATGACTCCCTTATTAGAAAATTCTCATACTAAAGAATTCTATGAATACTACCAGTAAACGAGTAGTATAAACTTGTTAGGCATTTAGAGACTTATACTGAACTTTAAAGAAATTAAATGACACAAAAATTTATGAGCTAAGAGCTCTGATAAGGACAGACTCATAAATAAAGAATACTGATACTTTTTCTGAGGAAGGGTAGTATACACAACTTCTAACATAATTCTTGTGAAGTAGAAAGATGAATGATTACACAGAGGAATGAGGTCGAAGACCTAAGATATCTCTCCATCAGTAATAGGTAAATCACCTAATATGGGTGGAATGATGAAGATAAATTACCTCTAGAGTCCACTCCTAAAATCCTATCATCTGAGGTACAGGAAAAGTACACTGAAAAAAACTGGACAAATCTGGAGTTGAAGTATATTAAAAGCAGGATGCAGACTAAAATTCTAGGGTGTAAATTATATCAATCATGAAGAACATACATATAGTGAATATGAGAAGTACATGCTTCTAGAAAACCTCAACACAAAGTAGGAAAGTTAAAAAGTATGGGCTATCTTAGGCAGAACCATCCTCTCCTAGTTATTTCAATTGTATTAGCAGGGTCAGTTTGTCTTGCTCTTTTTTTTAAACATGTCATTGATTAGAAGAAAGCATCTTACCTAGGAAATACTCCAAAATTTAAAATTATGCAAACTTTAAAATACCCTAAAATAATTTTATGAAATACTCTCTTATACCAAGAATGAAAAGAGCTGAGAAATGGAATTTATGCTAAGAATAACACTTAAGAAGTCCTTCCTTATCTATCAAAAACACTTTTAGGTTAGAGCTTGCCGACATAAGGAAAAATATGTACACTAGATACAAAAGAGACTCAGATGTATGTTTAAAATAAGTATTAGATACTGGCCAATATGGTGAAACCCCATCCCTACTAAAAATACAAAAATCAGCTGAGCATGGTGACGTGTGCCTGTAGTCCCAGCTACTCAGAAGGCTGAGGCAAGAGAATCGCCTGAACCCAGGAGGCAGAGGTTGCAGTGAGCTGAGATCACAACACTGCACTCCAGCCTAGGGACAGAGAGAGACTCTGGCTTGGTGGAGTTGGGGGAGAATGCGTTGGCTATCTTCTCATTATGTAAACAAAGACGATTTTAAAATAAACTATCCAAATTCCAACAGATCAGATGTTATCTAATTACTTTAAAATATTGTTACTGCATGGCTGTTTTAATATTGAAAATGCTTTAACTAATGCCAGCATAAAAAAGGAAACTGCTGGACTTGATTTGATAAAATCAGTGGATCAAATTATTACATAAAAGGGGAAAAATTATTACATAAAAGTGATTCTGAAAAATCAGCTCTAGATGTTCATCAAAAGAAAAATATTACCAAAATAAATATCTTCAAATTTAAGAGCATTTTGTACCCATATTCTGATTTCTCCAGGGAAAGCAATACTATTGATTAAACCTCCCGTGTGGCTTATCCTCTTTTGGTCTTTCTGGCATATTAGCATAGCGTGTCTTCCTTGATACACCCTCTAGAGATTATGACCTCTTTTCCATTCTGCTAAACATATGAGCATTTTCCAAAGTTTACTTCTAAGCCTTCTTCACTGCCTTCTCCTGTTTCCATGAGGAAGTTAACTATATTCTATAGGAAACACTTCAACATTTTCTTCTTTTTACTTCTATCCCCTCTAAGCATTCTATCTCCAAGTGCTAGCTGGCCATTTCCACATAGGTAGTCCAATACAATAAACATTATTACAAATAATAAAAAGAAGT